AATTGTTTTAGAAGGGTGTGGCATGTAAATTAAAGTATTTGATCTCAAATAAAGAAAATTAAATGAATCATAGCTCTTAAGTTATCATTAACAAGATGTTTTAACACTAAACTTTATGAAGAAATCAAATCATTTTGTGTCTGGAAGTACAGATAAATCAATTATAATATGGTATATGAATCAGAATAATTAATGGAAATGCTAACAAAAATTGGATGGACATTCTGATGCAATAGGTAGTTTATTATTGAATAATAATGAAAATTTTATTATCTCAGGCAGCTAATTCATCTATTAAATTTTGGAATAAATAAAATGGATGGTTGTGTTATTAAAGCATTAAAAATCATACTAATTATGTCTATTCATTAAGTTTAAATGAAAAGTAAGATAAATTGATCTCTTGTTCATAGATAAATAGTAGAAATCAATAATTTTTAAGTCCAAGCAAATTACTGTAAAATCTAGTTCACTTGGTTGTATTAATCAATTTTCATAATAATATTTAAAATTTAAATGTCTTTTAGTGAATAAAAATGGTTACCATATCAACTTAATAAAAAAGTTAGAAAACAGAGATTTTGTGACTGAATAAACTATTCAATTTGATCATCCTCATATTTTTGGTTAATTAAGTGATGATGGTGAATATTTAATCACTTGGGATTAGAAATCAAAAGAAATGCAAATTAGAAAATGCAAGGAATTATGAATAAAATTTAATAGATATGAGAAAATTAGAAAAAAATATTAGAAAATTAATTAATGTGGTTTCTTCTCAAATAAAGCTTAATAAGACAATATTTTCCTTGAGAAATTTACTAAAATCAATATGAAAGTTAATGGTAATTGCCTGAGCTTGTAAAGGAATAAATGATATTTATACCTTATTCTAATTTTTTTTAATTAGGAAGATCTTTTAAGTTTACAAATATTATCCATTAAATAATATAGAATAAGGTTTGATTTTTTAGATTGAATACCGAAATATTTTATAACTTCATTATGAAAAATCTAAAGTTCATAAATATTCAATTTTAGCCAATCTCATTTATTCAAATGAAATAATTGTAATGGCTTTTTAGGGATTGTGTTTATCACTTATATGGCAAAAGTATTTTCTGATTAATATTAAAATCAAGTAATTTAATTCAGGTTGCTAGATTTAATAAGATTTCAACTTGAATAGTTGTTTGATAATATTAATTGTGAAATTTGTAAATTATTGATGGAAATAATGAAAGATTATAATTTTAACTTTAAATAAAGTACCTAAATATTAAAATTTTATATTTCGCTAACTTTTTCTTGAAGAATTTTCTATACTTGAAACTCATGCATTTTATTTTAGACTTAGCAAGTATATAAAATTTTGAAAAAATAATTTACTTTTTGGATTATTAAGTAAAATATGTTGAAATTTTATTAAAATTAGTAAGAAAAAAATAATTTTTCAAGTAATTTAGTTGAAAATAAATTAGTAAAAATAATAATCTTAAGCTAACGCAAAATTAATTAGGATGCAATTAATAATAAATAGTTAAGCTTTTAGGATTAATAAATTTTGACAAAGTTATTTTATTATTGGAGAAGCTGGTGATGTACTCTTGAAATAAGATGATGGGTCTTTTCAAAAAACGAACCTATTTTGATGACACACCAGAGAATTTGAAACAAAGGACTATTTTTATTAAAATTAAATTATTAAGTGCTGGTTTTAAAGCAGTTTGTTGATGTAGGGTACCTGCCAAGCGACAATTTAGGGCAGCATTTAAAAAGCCCTTATCAAAGGCTAATAAGTGATGACAACTACTTTAAGACCAGAATAAGTGATTTTAAATTAAAAAATTCGTTTTTTTTTGGCTAAGGGTCCCATTTGTGCTTAATGACACTTTTTTAATTAGCATGCTCTGTTAACCACTCTCGGTTTTACATCAACATGAAGAACGGAAGAATAAGTTATTCGGAATGAGAAAATAGATGCATTAATAGAAAGCCAGATATATCTAGAAGAATGCCCGAACTTAAACAAAAAAGTATGAATAATAGGAAATTAGTGCTTCAAATATTGCTTAAGGTTAGCCAAAAATTAAAGAAGATGCTAACAATAAAGAACTTGATCTTACGTTCTTGATGCCTTATTTCAAATCATAATTTGGTGAATCGTTAATTTTGTAGAAAAATTTTTTGATTGATATTTTGATTGATAATTTGAATAAAGATAAAAAGTATATACATATTGAATCCAACTTAGCAAAATTGATGCCAAATTTCTTAGGCCTAGTATTATACAAAACTCTTATAAGATAGAGAGGTTGATTAAAACCTTACCAGTCTAGGACTAAAGGAAGGTTCACTACTCTACATCTAACACATGATAAACTTTAAGAATTGAAGGGAATTTATTAAAAATTAGGATTACATTAATATTAATGTTAATCAACTAATAAGGGAAGTTATATGGGAAGAATAACATGAAAACTGGATTATGTTCATAAATACAAGTATTTCCAAGTCAATATGCTAGATTCGTTTCTACATCTATCTCTGCAGTGAAATGAAGTTTACATCTGATGAAATGTATTAATAATTTGCTATAAGTTAGCCTATAGAGGAAATTTATGGATTAATTGAGTAGGCAGGCATATGAGTTGGCTTTTAAGTACACTCATAAATTAGGTTATTTGGAGAATCCAGCTAAAAAAAAGAATTAGGCTAAGATTAGATTCAGCAACAAAGAATCAAAAACTTTAGAAGGTGGCATACTTGAGAACTATTAATGATAAACTTCTTAAAGAAAACATTACTCTTAGTAATTTGATGGATAGGCTATCAGATCACTAACTCTAAAGATCTTATAGGAAAAGATTAGTTCATCAAATAAGTTGACAAGATTTGAATATTAGAAATGATATCCATAGTAAATTAATTTTATTTCGAAGACTAGAATGAGACTATAAATGAAACTTCAAGAATTAATTAATCAAAATGGATAGGTAAGAATTTAACTTCATCAAAAATAAGAACTGAGGATTCACATTTCCAATACTAAAGGAATGCATAATTTAAATCTTTAATTTTCTAATATTTTGAAGTCAGTAAGAAGCTTTTAAAAACATATTGATTAATCAGTTACTTGAACTCTGTAGCAACAAAGTTAACCTGGCTTAATAATTAGTTAATGTCAAGGAAGAAGGAATTTTAGAAAGGTCTTTAGAAGATAGGTAGCAAAAGAAAAAAGTATCTGAGTAGTTTATAGGAATTATATAATGGTGGACATACTCTTATTATTTAAGGAAATTCAAAAATTTGCATATAAATTTCAGCCGCCATTAATTAAAGATCAATATAATAATTTAAATTTCTTACTACTTCAGTAAATTGATTAAACATATTATATTGTAAGTTTTATTTTAATGCAAACTAGAAATCTAATTGAAGATGCGATTTATACTTTTTTTAGAGGCAATATTATTTTTTAGTTTTATTTAGAATATTTAATATACAGAAAAGAAGATAAAATTATGATGGTTTTTGGCATCTTTATCTATTGTAAATCTTATCTTTGAAACAGCTTCATAAATTTCATTTATATATTAATAATCTCCTTTTGTAATTTGGTACTTATAATTATAAAATATTATTAATTTTTGCTAAATCTAAATTAATTACTGTTCTT